TTAGCCGCCGAACCACCAAGTGCTGGTCGACACTACGGGGACTAGCGTGCCGGCAAGCACGTGAACCTCGGGAGAAAAATCTTGTGTCTCTTGTGTGATTGGATTTCTCCCAGTGATTGATTAGCTTCATCTTGTGATTGGTTTATTGCTTAACACAACGGTATAATCATCCTACTCACTCCATCACTTTCTTGCAAACTAGTTGTAGCAAGCTCTTTAGTGTAGCTAGTTTTGAGAGTTTGCTTGTTAGCTTAGTTTCTTCTAGTGGAGCTGTTTAGTGTAGCTTTGTTGAGAGCTCTCAGTGAGTAGTGACCTAGCCTCTTATGTTGCCTAGAGATCATAACGACTAAAATTGTTGGGACAGTTGACTTGCAACCCTTATAGAGCTAGAGCAAAATTGCATTACGCCGTTTGTTATACTAATCAATTGCTTTAGTATTTTGTAGTGTTTTTAAATAGGCTATTTACTCCCTCTAACCATATTAAGACATTTCACCCGTTCAACTACAGAAACCAAGTCTAGATTGGAAAATTTAGGAGCGGCAATAAATATAAGAGAACTCTAAAGAAAAATAAATAGGTTGGCATACCATTCGTCCTCCTAGAAACTGATTTATTTGTAGACATAATTTTTATTAGAAATCTATGTATTCATTGACAGAGAAATGCTTATTTAAAACATTATTATTCTGTCTCATCGTTTCGGTTTGGGCCCCATGTTTGCTTCCTCCTTCATTTCTGCCACGCCGAGCAGTTTTTGGATCACCACTCCGTCGCTCATGTGCATCTTAATTTCTTTCTTCCGATTTTGACTCGTTTGTTCGTCTGTGCTACTGGTTCCTTCCAAATTACAAGTTGTTTCGTCTCTTACTAAATATATTACTTTTTATAATATATTTTATTATAATTCATATTTAAGTGGATGCTAAAACGTCTTATAATTTAAAATGAATGGGTACCTTGAAACTACGAAGCTCAGTTCAGCGGATTAATAAATTCGTTCTATGAGTAAGCAAATTAATTTTGTTCCACAAGTACTCCATCCATTTTAAATTATATGATATTTGGCTTTTCTAATATCTTATTTTTTTTTATCTCTAGACATAGTGTGTATCTAAGTGCACAATACAAGTTATATGTACGTAGAAAAGTCAAAACTCCTTTTAATTGAAATGGATAGAGTACTAATAAGTACTTAGAATACTATACTAGCAACATGCTTCCCTCGCGCGATGGTGACCTACCTACCTGCTCCAATTCAATATTATTTCTAGAACTTTTTTAAACAATAGAAATATTTAAATTTATCCTCAAAATAGAGGGATCAGCTCACACTTATCATAGCAAAGTTGCACACTCAAACCTTGAAGCCTAACCAGGACCAGAAGGCCTGTTCAGCCAGAAGAAATCTTGATTTGACATATTCTATCATTTTTAGAACCCTCTTGGTATCCTAAATAAAGAAATTATTATATCTTACTTAAGTTAGAAAACATTGTCATTTGCTGACATTGACACAAACATACGATTCACGTGAAATGTTGACACCCCACCTAGAATATATCCGGTGAAATTCAACAAGGCGATGCATCGGGAAATCGTTTCTTTATCTTAAATAAATTAATAATAAAAGTTCATTCATCTCAACTTCATAAGGATTTTTAAGAAAAAAAAAACTTAATAAGGATGGCTCTAATTGTTTAGGGAAAGCCACGCTCTTTATTGATGGAGTTGGTCATATGAGTTACAAATGCCAAAAGATGGTTCTAACAGCCGGATATGCCTGCCTGTATCAAAAGAAATCAACTCCTAACTAAAGTATAAGCATCAATATTGGAATGTCTACTCTCGTGAGCAAAATCAACATAATGAAAATCACGAGCCCTGCCCCTAATCTCCTTCACAACTTGGCCATAATGACCCATGCCTGTTTCTGATAGCTTTGGCACAATCAGATGCCAAAAACTATGTGGAACCACCGAGGCCTCCGAGTCTGAACTTTTGCCTTTGCAGTCTGGATCGGCTTGAATGCTTGAAGTTCAACAACATATTTGTCGACAAAAACTATGTGTCGATAGCAGGCTATGAAAAATATTTTCATAGATCGCCTTCCTTCTTACGTGCCAAATTGCCCACGTAGTCAGCAACACCTGATTGAGATCAGTACGGGGCATTGGCTATCAGATTCGCCATGGCTCTGAAGGGATGACGACGATGAAGAAGTACCGCTGGGCCTAGGAGCTGACTACGAGGGGCTGGCCCAGATCATATTCCAGCCCAAACTCACCTGATCCGGCCCAGATAAGACTAGCCCAATTCACCCGTTTCCTTCCTTCCTCCTGCTACCCAGGCCCAGGCGAAGACCGCAGACCTAAGCAGCCGCTCTTAAAAAAAAAAAAAGGAAAAAGGAAAAAGGAAAAAACAGACAGGCAGCCCCAAACCTCCTTCCCTTGGACTCGACTCGCCGCACCCATCCCATCCGCCGCCGCCATGGCCGACGAGATCGACACGAGGCCGGCCTCCGCGGGCTCCCGGGGCCGCCCCGCGCACGCTACGGAGGACGACGACAGGGAGGAGGGCGAGATCGCCGACGACACCCCCGCGCCCGCCCTCCCCGCCACGCACCCGCTCGAGCACTCGTGGACCTTCTGGTTCGACAACCCGCAGGGCAAGAGCAAGCAGGCCGCCTGGGGGAGCTCCATCCGACCCATCCACACCTTCTCCACCGTCGAGGACTTCTGGGGGTGCGTCCGATTCTCTCCCTCCCTCATCTTTACCTCCTGCCCCTCATCTCATCCCAAACCCTCGTTACCTGTACAACTACTGGTAGTCTGGTACATGTCTCTAGATTCACAATATACGAGCCAAATCTGCCATGGTTCACGGATCTCGGATCTCTAGATTAGTTAATGCATTAGTTTCTGACTCTGCTTAATCCATAGTATTATTATTCAACGCTAGTCTCTAGAACGGGGAAGATCAATATTGACGACATAGTTGCTGTCTCAACTTCGTAGCCTTCCATGCCTTGCAAGACGCCTGCCTCTCTGAAACAGATATTGATTTGCACAAGTTTTGTGCTGAACTAGTGTCTGTCTCAAGTTTTGTGCTCCACTAATTAAGCCATTTAGAGGTTACCCCAAAACCACGCAGAACTGTTGTTCTGATGTTGCCAGCTGTCTCTATACTTTTACATGCGCCCCCCCCCCTGCCTATATCGTGCATATTAGCCTTCTCATTTGTCATATTAGAAGCAGCTGTTGATCAATCTTACACTTTTTTCAGTTTCATTCATGTGTATGAACTCTTTGTTGGGTAAGCATGGTATGTTGCCATACTCAACAGCCTGTTCTCCAGTCCTACCTGCTAGTCCTTGCTCACCCGAGTTTGTTGTTCATACTCAAACACAAGCCTTGCCAAGTGCCCAAGTCTATGGTTGATATTAAGTCAAAGTGACGCCCACCTCATGGCTCTAGTTTATATAAGCAATTCAGTCTCTGTCATGATGCAAAATCTGTAACATATGTTTTTAGTCTTCAGAATCAGAGATTCAATTTAATCCGCTGAACTGAGCTTCATAATTTACTGGCCCTCTTGCTTGTCGTTTCCTTTTTTTCACAGTCAAATTTCGTAATAGCTGTTGTTTGGGATTGCAAGTTGGAAGCTCTGATATTTAATAACCTTCCTCTCTTCCTTCTGAATTCTGATGAGTGCTCTTGGTCTAATTTCGTGTCAGACATCTGTTGATCTTTGCTTTGGTCCTTGTGTCCCCATCCAACTTTACCTTTCATCTATAAATATATTCCAACTAATGGATCTGTGGTTTCTCAGCCTTTACAATAATATTCATCACCCTAGCAAGTTGCCCATGGGAGCTGACTTCCATTGCTTCAAGAACAAGATTGAACCAAAATGGGAAGACCCTATTTGTGCTAATGGCGGTAAATGGACCATCAGCTGTGGAAAAGGAAAATCTGACACGCTGTGGCTTCACACCGTAAGCAATTCTATTTTATTATCAGAAAAAAGATAATTTTGCTCTGCTCATCTCTCCTTATTACACCCTACAGTCCTCCACCCTTATACTCTTTCAATTTTGTTTCATGTAGCTGTTGGCTATGATTGGCGAACAATTCGACTATGGTGATGAAATTTGTGGAGCAGTCGTCAGCGTGCGTGGCAAGCAGGAAAGAATAGCTATCTGGACAAAAAATGCTGCTAATGAAGCTGCTCAGGTACGAGTGCTGCAGTCACATCTCTGTCTAAATG